AAGAGACAGGTGTGACAGTCTTCCCTCTCATACCCACTTTCTGTGTCTGTGCACTGTGTTCCAATCTGGGAATCGTGCAGAACTCAACTGAATTTTTTTTGACAACAGAAATTCCAGAAGCAGAGGTCACAGGGGTGGGAAGGATATATTCACTGAGCTGCTGTTGCCATGCCCATCCTCCTTGGCACCATTCTTTCCCATTTACAAGTATTCTATCCCATCTACAAAAAGTTGTGCCACAAGCAGCAGGATTAGTAAGACTTGGTGGTCCCTTTAGATTTGTGCCTGTTGCTCTTTGAACCCTTGCTACCACTGCCCTGCCTTCTGCTTGTGTACTGTAGTTAGGCAGGCATAAATGTGAAATGGCTGTGTGGTTTTCATCAGTCCCGTGGTGGAAGGTGCTCGTTTGGACCTCTTGGATCTAGTGAGTAATTATCATGAAGCAGGAAAGGAACCAGATATTTCTAAAGATCTCTCCGCAATTGATACAACTGGTAGTAGTCCCAGAAGCTATCAGAAGGAGATGGAGCACAGTTACATAAGTTTCTTTTCTTACACAGGGAAAACAGACAAAAACCCAAACATGAAAGAACGGTTGATGTAATTAAATGATTCAGCCAGTTTTCATGGGCAATGCAATTCTTTGTTACTCTTGTTTCCTTTATAATTTGCCTGAACTTCATTCCTTTGTCCATGCCAAAATGTACAAGAGATCAAGATGAGACAATACTTGCAAATACCACTTTGTCTTGGAAGTAACTTGTCTCCATTGAGCTGTTCCATCAGTGCTGAGCAGGGCCTGCAAATTTTGATACCTGTTTGGTATTTACTCTGCTTAAACTTAGGCAAGTTGTGCTGGTTTGATGTACTTGGATGTTTTATGCTGCAGGAATATATGAGCTTCCCAGTCATCCTCTGCAGCAGGGGAAACTGAGTGAACTCTGTATGTGGCAGAAAAGCAGAGAGGCTGAAATAACTTGCCTGGGGTTGCCTGCTGAACCTTCTTCCCTGGTGAGGTGCGGGTGGGGGCCTTGACCACTCGATGGAGCTCTGATACGGTTTGTTGTATGTGTTAAATGTACTACTCATCTTTGCTGAGCATATTAAGAAACAAGTTTATAGAGTTCTTTCTCAGCTTTCAAGGTTGGGAGCTCCACTTTCATTTGGGCACTCCATGAAATGGGTAGATTTTAAGTGGTAGTGAGTCCTGAAGGATATGACGTCCCAGACATACCTGAAAATCCTCCAATCTGCAACTTGGTTATATTTGAAGCTGTAGGCTGATAAGCTTTTGAGAGAGACAATTCTTAAAATTATTGGCAAATACCCAGCCTTATAGTTCCATCTTTGAGCAAATCGAATCGTCCAAATTACTGTCCAGTGCAGAGATAATGATTTATTTGGCTGTTGACAACAGGCACTTTTTTCCTGCCTATTCAGTTTTGATCTTAAATCGTGATTCACACACAGTATGAAACATCCAGTGTTTTCTGAGGTAAGAGCAGGACATGGTGCTGAGGGCTTTAAGGAAGCATGTTTTGAGCCTTTTCAAGTACCGTGAAGAACATTGTTAATGTCCAGTCTGGTTAGTGTACATCAATCACAGAGGCAGTGTTTGAGATGGCAACTGTTCTGATACCTGCATGCTGGCCACTGGTGCTGTCTTAGGGCACGGAATGCTACAGTTAACGTTCCTTTTGCTCTCCATTTGTGAGCGTTCTCTGGTTCAGTGGTGTGAGAGGAAGGTTAGCACGAGAGTGAGGAATCTGTATTTGTCAGGAGAGGCCTGGTTAGAAAGCTGCTGCCTGTTTCCTCATTAATCAGTGCTGGGAAATCTGCCGGCAGGTGGCATTGCTGTCCAGCTGGACTATCACAGAAATTTAATTATTTTTTTTTTTCCTTTGGACATTGGCTTTGCACTTTATTATTCTGAAACCCTGTAATTAACTGGCAAAGACCTAATTATGTGTTGTTTATCGGGAACATTTTTTACTTCTGTCCTATGAATTTAATCCAGGGTTTGTTTGTTTCTTGGTCTTGGCTGTGCTGTGGACAGGCAATAGTCTCTCCTGCTGGTGCTTGCATGCTGAAGGCAGAAGGAAGCCTTTAAGTAGCTGAATGCAACACGAGCAAGTGTCTGAGAGCCAGTAGGGACTTGGAAGGACCAGGTGTTCTTCCACCATCCCTACCTGGAGCTGCTGAGTCATTCAGAAACTGCACACTGCTCTTCTCCATCTCTTAAATAATTCCAGACCTCCAGTGACAGAATATAGAAAAAAATACCTGAAGAGTATTTCACTGTCACTGCTTCATACCACAGCTGGTTATTTAAGTAGTCCTCAGACTAAATTAGGTGCAATCTGTTGCTTTAGGCACCCTGACACTGCAGAGAATAAGGTTGGAAAAGGTACTGCACATGGCCTGTGACCTCGTAGGCCTCTGAGAATACAGCATTGTGATCACTGTACAGGTGGAACAGTAGTTACATTCTAAGAGTAGATACTCTTGATGTAGAAAACACACATGCTCTTTCCCACACTTCTGTAGTGTCTGCTGCTGGATCAGATTAGATTTATTTGGTAGAGGAAAAATGTAATTGTGACTGAAATATAGAGGTGAGATCTATAATCTAGCCAGGACCCTAAGAATGTATAATTTTATGAAGTGTACAATATACACAGATAACCATAAATGGCCACATAATTCACTGTGCTTCTTGTAGCCCTTTTCCTCACCTTTCTGTTGTGTTTATTAAGATCTCATCCAGCAAAGATTTTCCCTTAGTTTGAGAATATCTTTGTGCAGCAACTGCACAGAAAATAAATGGTAGTCATTGGGAGACCTGGGCCCAAGATCCAACTCTCAGGGCCAGTACAGTATCTTTCTGCAGTAAGCCAGCTTGAAACGTGGCTTGTCTGATCATACAAAGGGAACAAGAGGTCCCCTGTGCTGACAGCCCACGGCACCAGCGGCAGTACCAGGGCAAGGGAGACTCTGAGATTATGATGTCTCTGCCCGGCACAGGTGGGTGGAACTGAGGGAGCATTAACAGCCCTTCCTCAACTGCAGAGCACAACTAAAAAGGCTTTGACTCATGCAGTCCAGTGCTTCTCAGAAAGTTTTTGGGCAAAAGTGGCACAATGTCCTTTATCAGAGAGGTGTTGCAGAGCACAGGAGTATCAGAATGGCCATCCAGTCAAAGCCTAGCAGTATGCAGTTTTGTTCCTGGAAAAGCCCTGTAGCAGTGTTTTGGGGAAGTAGTGTAAGTAACAACAGAGAGATTTGCTTGTCCACAGCTTCTGACAAGGGGTGGCTGTAGACTGTATGCTGACCACTGGTTTACTAACCGTCTGAACTCCCATAGTCCCCTTTTGGAACCACTCATCGGTCTGATCTCCAGAACATGCTGAGCAATGCAATCCATACTTCAGTAATATTTTTTGTGGGGAAAAAATTGCTTCCTATTGTTTAACATATGCATGCTTTGTATGTATGATGCTTAGCACAGGGACCCCTGAGCCATCTGGGGCCATCTGCTAATATTAATGTGTTCTAGTACCCAGGAGCAAATACAGAATCAACAGGAGTGACTCAAAAGTATCTGGAGACAAAACATCCATTTGGTCACTTTCTATCTTCTCATTTTGTGGTAATACTGGTTAATGTAGGACGTGCTTGGAAGCATGTTGATGAAGACTTCAATTTAAGGTTGTATCTGTAAACCACTTAGCTTCAGAGAATTTCAGACCTCTGCAGTTGTTTAATCCTGGTTATTTATCACTTGAAATCTGGGGATGTGTTGGCAGAGGTAGCAAGATAGAAGCTAGGTGGCTGCATTTGTAGCCTCTAGAGAGAGGATGGGTTTTTTTGTTTACCATTCTTCCTCCTTTGATACATGCACAGTGCATAGTAGGGCAGTACAACAGCTGTTATATTTGGCTGGATGTGGACAGATTATATTTCAGGAGATCTTCAATTAAAGACAGAAAGTACAAAATATTTTTTATATTTCACAGCTTTGCTTTAATTTTCTGAGGTTCAGTGATGAAATGTATAAACAGGGCAATCTCAGCAGACAGGTATTTCCTGCGAAGCTTACTCCAGTTCCCCACGGCATGATAGCTGTCTGAACTATATGCTGATAGGGGTGAGGAGCCTCACCTGCACACCTCTGCCGGCTACCACAGCCTGGGGGCCAGGCTCGACTACAGATGCCGTAGAAGCAGGGCTGTACAGTCTCCCTCAGGTGTAAGCAGTGACTGAGGAGTGTTAGCTCCTTGAAGCTTGAGTGGTGCAGCTGAGCTACTATAGAGGTCTTGCCATTACTTATTAGAGTGTATAGTGAGTCTAGGACTGCTTTTTCCTTGGTGTAACAATGTCCTTTGGACAGCATAACACTACCAGCAACAGGGCAAGAGCAACGCTCTGAGCTGATACCAAAATCCTTGCTGAGTTCTGAGAGAATGATTGAGGATTTAGAATGATTCTTGCTCAGTTTACTTGTTTGTTTGGTAATGATGTTGTGTTGCTATTTCACTTTTTATTCTTCTTAGAGAATTAAGACACTGGACTTAGGTCTCAGGAGAAGCTGAAAACAGATCAGAGAGTCTCATCACAGCTGTGTAGAAATGTTTTGTGGAGTTTGTTGTTTTGTTTGGTTGTGGTTTTTTTTTTTTTCTACACTAGCACAGCCCAGGAAGAGCAGAGATCTAGAGTCAGTTGTTGGTGAGGACCTGACGTTCACACTATGCAAGTTTCATGAGGGTTTACTTCAGACAGTGTTAGTCCAGCGTATGGTCCATGAGCCAGCAGTAATGATCATTTGGGTTAGCTTAATCCAAAAGCAGTCTAGTGTGCCTGCGCAGTGCTATGGGGACATGGCACAGTAAGTGGGGACAATCAGGAGTTGCATGCACCTCATTCGATCTAAAATGCTAATTTAGCTACAGAAAATGTGGAATTAGGACAAGGCAAACGTGAGTGGATAGTTGTTCCCTCATGCTGTGACCAAAGGATTATTTATGGTTCAGTCTACAGCATTCCTAAGAAAAATGAGCACCACAAGCACAGTGCAGCAGTTCGTGCATCCTAACCACCTCCCCAGCTCTGCTTCTGTACCTGCTGGTGCACACACAGAAGGTCAGTCTCCAACCAGCTGGCTCCAGGCAAACACGGTACTACTTCTATACCTTTAAGAGTATTAGACAGCATTTAGTAAGAATAGAAACCTCATAGCCCGGTGTCTGAATATCCCTTTATTGTCAAATACTACTGTGAGCCCAGTGTAACTTGCAGAAGTAGTACAGGGAGAATGATACTGTTTAAAAGTTTGGATTACATTTTGTTGTGGAAATAGAAATGATAGGTAAGTTGAGGCAAAACAGCTGTTGCAGGCAGTGCCACAGCCTGGCCTCCATAGCGTACATGGCTTTGACCAAAGGTCAGCTTTATCTCCCTTTGTTGGCTGTTGAACGAGAATGGTATCTGCTAGCTGGAGGTTGCTCATGAAGAACACAGTATGATCCCAGGCTGCTGTGAACACCCTGCAGGTGATTTCCTTGGCTTTGTACATTGGTGTGGGAAAGTTACTTACTCCTGGTTCTCCTTAAGAAAGACTGAACACATTACAGACACTGTACTGTAACAAAGAGCTTTATGTCAGTGTGTCAGAATGTCCCGTCTCTCCCAGCAGTCCATCAGATATTGCATCAATACAGTCAATACTGAAGGTGTCAAATAGAACATGAGTGCAAATAAAAGTACTACAGAGCTGTAGCATTAAATTCATGAACTCTGCTCAGCCTTCAGTACCATAATATCTATTAAAAAAAAAGGTTAACTTTTTTTTTTTTCCAAACAGGATACTTTTTCTGCAAATTGTGGTGATCACTTGCTAGAGATCCCACATCTTCTAGACAGCTAAGGCTATGCTAAGTATGCCAAGCTTTTATTTTTACTTCATATACACAATCACAGTACTTCACAAGGACATACAGCTGAAAAACACCAAGCTGATTGTCAGAAGGCTTTAAACTCTCCCTCACTGACCTAGAGTTGAAATAGTCTGTCCCAAAGTGGATGCTGTATTTGGAAGCCCTGAGTTTTTGATTAAAAATGAGCTTCTGCTTTCTGTCCCTAGGTGAGTTGCTGGCAGCAGTGTTTACCAAGAGACTAGAAACTACAGCCTGGTGCTAGTAAGAAAGCCTTGTCTTCAATCTTAGATAGCCCAGAGGGGAGAGAGGAAGAGCCAGAATCCCAGAGTCTTAGAAATCTCTTAAGGGTTTGATCTTGATCTTTGTTTTATGCTGCCCTCCCCCATCTCTGGAAGAAACTGCATATTTCTACTCTAGGATAAATTTCATGTACTGGAATTCTTCCCAGAGTTGGCACAGCTTCAAAGGGTTTTATCTTGGCTGTAGTACCCACATGCTGCTGCAAAGATCTCCAGGGAAAAGAGTTGGAAATGGACAAAAGAACAACAAAGCTACAGGGTCTTCCAGGAAGCTGTACCCCACTGGGATGATTCCCCAAAATCCAGTGATACAGGGAAATCCCTCACTTCCTTCCCCATCTCCTGTTGGTCACCACAAAACATCCTAGCCCTTGGCTTCTCTGTGGGACCCATGACTTTCACATCATGCCATTCTCTTTCTATGCTGGTGAGAGCTTTCCCTGCAGATGCTAAGTTAGGGCCCTAGTAGCTTTTCCTCAGCAGCACTTTCCTGTTTCTTCAAGGTCTCAGTAGAACCATACTGGCCTACAAGCTACTCAGTCTGCACTGAAGATTCTTTTGTAACAGTATCAACTCACCGCTCAACAGCCTGTGATACCGGAAAGCTCTTGTCTGAGCACTAATGGGAGAAGACTGAGAGAACAAACCTTCATCTACCAGAGCCCTTCAGTCACTCACAGCAGCAGCCTGTTAAAATGATCTCCACTATTGCAGCTGTACAAAGGGCCCAGTATATGAATGCTGATTCCCTTTACCCTTCTCTGTACATTGATACTACAGTACTCTTTCAGACTTAGCCATAAACATTAATTTCAGCCCTCTGACTTCTTACTGGGATGTGGAGTGGGGCACTTACCTCAGCACCACAAAACACTGAGGACCAAGAACAGCATTTGACACAGCACTGATGTATGTGCTTGTGTATCTACACGACAGGTTGTTAATTTCTATCTGCTCTGCAGGTGCAAGGTTCAGGGGGTTCTGCCTGCACCAAAGAGAAAACACCCAAGAAACATGAGCATGCATAAACTGGTTGCTGTGGAATAATACTGGTCTTTCAGCTCAAAAAACTTGGGTCTGTTTCTACTCAGGTTGGATTGTGAATTGTCAGCAGAATGCTGATCAAGACCTGTGCTGAGGTTACCTGTGAAGTTTCTTGTAGCACTGAGGAAGGTTATTAGTTGGAAAAGGAAGTTTGGTTCCAAATCAGATACTAGCTTTAACTCACAGGTCTGATCCTGCAAGCATTACTCACATAAGTGGCTGTCTTGCTTTCAGCAAGATTGGTCCAGCCAGCTCTCACTAGCTTAGGCCAAAAGCTTTTATAGATAACTACATCCAGGCTGGGGGGAAAAGGGAAGAGACAGACATCACAAAACTAATTCATTTTCCACATGAAAGCAGTAATAAAAATGAGATAGTAAGTGAGCCTTGCCCTTAAGGTTACTGAATAGCTACTAAATTAAAGGAAAGGCTAGCACGTTTGATAATAAATTGCGTCGCACACCGTGGGCATCAGCAGCAGTTACTATGGACACAGCTTTCAAGAGAGAGACAGGCAGGAAGAGAGAGCTGGAACAAAGAAGAAACAGTAGAGCTAAAAAAGTGTTAACTGGGATTTTGAAAGATCACGGTCTAAAAACCTTATTAAGTATGGAGTCAGTAATCCTTGGCATTCCGAAATTCTGGCATGCTCCAAACCCTCCTGGTGGGCTGGGTGCCCCGTTCCACATCCTCAGAGATGGTCTTGATGTCACTGATGAATGGGGAAATCCTGGACCGAGATTTAAATGTTGTTAAGGAGAGGCTGGTTTTGTTCTTTGTGTTCCATTGCCTGGCAAGCTTCTTGGCCTCTTCCTCCTCTTTGATCTTCTCAGCAGCTTCCTGCAGGACAGAGCGGAAGAGCCGGGATACTTCCTGCACTTCTGGTTCATATTCAGCAACAAGTTGCCGGAATCTGAAAGCACAATCAAGGCACAGTTTTGATTAAAACCATCAAATTACTGATTGCTGCCAAGTCACTGTGCTAGGCTTAGAACTTGCACTCTCCTGCAAAATGGGACTCCTTGGACTGAAGGGAACAACAGCAGGGAGGGGCCATGAAGATATGCTCAAGGTTTCTAAAATTACAAGCAAGACAAAGAATGTAAGGAAGCAATGAATCACCGTTTCTCATAAGCACAAGAAATAACAGGGATCACCAAACAAAGCTAGAAGGTGGCAAGTTTGAAATAGAAGGAAGTGCTGTTTTCACACAACACCTATTAAATCAGAACTCAGTGCTATCGTTTTGTTTCTTAAGCTATTGATTGGACGACTTTGTGGAAAATGTCCCCATTGCTGCTGATTAAATGTGATCTCCAAATGCAAATCCTTGCTTAAGTAGTCCCTGAACTGCTGCTTACCAGAAGCTGAGGACAGACCAGGGCAAGTCCCACTAGACTTCCCATTTCCAATTCTCATTACCCAATGGCCGCTAGAGAACAAAAGTCCTGTAAAAGTCTTTGTTATGTTTGGTAGTCTCTCAGTATTTAAATTTCAGTGAAGTGGTATTTCATCTTCCTATGGATTTCTCTAAGATAATGGACTGGCTTGGCTGATAGCACCTTGATTGACAGCACAACATTGTATCCAATTAGACAACTGTGAATTACTCCAGTGCCTTCTCAGCAAAGAGCTCAACTTTTTTTGTTGTGTATTAATCTATCTTAATACCATGGAAGTGAAGAATTGCCACTGTTTGTTTTGCAGATGAGGAAGATGAGATGCAGGAGCGGGATAGTTCCCTTGAACTCACTGAGTGGGTCATGAGCTGGGCCAAGCAGAGAACATACCATTCCTGACACCTTGTTGGGTGATTTGGTTCCCAGCCTGGGGAGTGTGGGATCCACTCCCAAGGCTCACACACTGGTCACGTTGATATTCTAGTTCTTCCATAATAGTATGCATTTATGACAGATGGTAATATGGCTACTCTTTAAAAAATACTCAGTTCTTAACATAAAAATTGTATCTACAGGCAGACACAGAGCTAAACTACTACTTCACTAAAATCCAGGTATTTGTACTTAATGTAAGCTAAAAAAAACCTCTAAACTTTGAACATTTGCATGCAAAAAGCCTCTGAGGCACTGTAGTTCACACTGGTACATAAGTAAGTACTTAAACAGTGATGCTCAACTGAATTGTACAGAGCCTGTAAGAGCAAGAGATTAGGTCTTGCTGAGGGTTAGCACACAGCAATGGTAACAGATTTGCTGTACGCTGCAAACATCCTTTCTGCCTTCTGATGAGGCACTTCAGTTGCACTATCAAAGAGCCAGAAATCCAGTTTTCACAATAAATACATTTTTCCCTTTATCCTAGTCAGAAGCATGGACAGATGAGTCCATCAAAACCCAAGTCTTCACATTATTATTATAACAGGGAAGGCACTTTCAAAGCACTTTTATTGCAAGGTGAACTGAACGAGTAATTCCATTATCTTATCTCCATTGTGTATTTTAAAAGAGAGATGCTGTCATACTACATATCTATCAATACATCCTCTTCTTTTGTATGGGCAATTGTGCAGCCAAAAGGCCTTACACAGCCTCTAAAACTGGAGGCAGCGATGTCATACTGCTGGGTTGTGGCTTCAGAGCAGGTAGTAGCATGTGTCAGGCTATTACTGGACCAGTGACTGTCTCGGAACAGGAGAGAAAATGGGTGCTACTACAGCAGATTTACCCCCTGCACACAGAGCTCTAATGCTAATGCCCTCTGTTGCTAGTAACACTCCCAACCAATCTAGCTGAAATAGTGCTCTAAAATCAGTGCAACTTCCCACCTTCATAGCCATCTGCCTGTTTTCACTCTCCTTAGCTAGAGCAGCAAGAATTGTTTTGTGAACTCTGCTTTTGCTGTTAAGATTTACCTCTGGCTTTACAGGACCAACACAACAACTACTTCATATGGATTTGAGCAGGTCTAAGAAACAAAGAGAAAGCAATCCAGCAGACTGCCAGTCACTCAAAGAAAAGCCACTCTTACTCAGATGGAGGAGGGAAAGGGGGCCCTTTCCCCCAGTAGGATGAACTAACTTCACCTCTTTATTAATGCCTATCTAACTTAAGTACCAGCGTTTTTGTGTAAGGGACAGTCCACATATGAAGTCCAAAAGGTGTGCATGCCCTAAGTATTTCTCAGCAGAAAGGGTGGACAACTTATCAGGGGCTGAGGTCTAGTCTGCATGTCAGAAAATAGATTATGTTTGCTGCAGCAACCTACGTATAATTGAAGCCATCTTCCCCAGTTATCAGTGAGAGCCAGTTGATGTGCTGTCTGCACAAAACAAGCAACATATGAAAACAGTAAAAACACTGGAATCAAGGAATATGGGCTTGTGCCGTGGGAAGCAAACTCCACACAAAGTTACTCAGTGGAATTCAGCACACAAAATTGCACAAGCCTCACCTATCTTCTAGTACAGGTTAATGTCCTTACACTTTTGCATGGAATAGTTTCAAACAAGGCAACTGCACAATGTTATCTAGAAATCCCTCAGCAGGGTTTCCTTACTCATCAGAAAAGTACACCCATCTACCTTATTTGTGAAACAAGTTATGATGCTACGGGCAGCTAACCTGCAAGTTATGCAAGTCATGCAGTCTTGACGTGACTGTCAACAAAACTCCTCTCTTGAACCAGCACAGAAGCCTGGGGAGCGTGTATATACACACATATAGACAAGGACATTTCCCAGTCCAAGCTGTGTTTTAATCACAGGTCAAATGTGTTAAATTGTGACCTTCCATTTCCTTATAGGGCCACTGGATTTTAAGAATCTGGCTGTGCTTGGCTCATACTGGCACTGCTTTTTTCAAAGTGCTGTCACCTGCCTATGTTATTCTGTAGGTCCTCAGTTCTGTAGGTTTCCTAAGTAAAGCCTGAACTTTAAAGACCTGTTAAATCCAATGGAAGTCTGTGGTCTTAAACAATATGCTTATAGTTCAGTGTATTCCTGAGTGCCTGTCTGAACTGGGACCTCTAAGTAGATTTAGTCATTTGAAGAAAACATGGGGTGCTTAGTGTTAATAATTAGCTGATGATTCCTGAATCTGTATTTTGAGCAGGAATTCTGGTTATATTGTAAACAACTTTGCTAGAGAAGGCTACTTGACTTCCAAAGGACTATTGCATTCACACTAACTGCAGCACTCATGTCACATCACCTCAAACTTAAGCTCATAATTGTAAATAAATCCATCTCTGATTTCAGTCATTGTCTTACATTCAAACATACTAGGAAGTCCGCTTCAGCCATACACAGTCCTTAGAAAATTACCGTGCCTAGCCTGTGGTATTAATAACGGATCGCCAAAGTGCAGGTTTACATTTCAATATTCCCTGGGAAGAGAAGGACAGAAACTCAATGTTTCACTTTTGCTGAAACTGAAAGAAATTAAACAGACCAAACTAGCTCTGATTAGAGCTAAAGCTCCAAGTAAAGATGGCAAAAAGCTTAGCATTCTGTATAAGCAAGCTAATTCCTAGTCTACTCGTTCAGTTTAACCATGGCAGTTAGGTACTGAAGGCCTCACCAAAATCACTGTCACTTCCTTCAAGCGTCTGCAGAATTTAATTTTAAATACAGTCAACAATCTCCACCCCAGTAACCAAACGCTAAGTTACACCTGAATGCATTAGCTTTATTTGTATGAGGTGAATCAGAGTCTCCAGATATCTGATGATATTTGCAGTGTAGTTGAATCTTTCCAGAATGTCAAGGGACTTAAAAGTTTCTATTGACCCAAAAAATAGAACAGGCAAACTGGACCTGGGAAAAAAAAAAAAAAAAAAAAATTTAAAAGTGCTCCTTTCCAGCCTCCTCCACATCTAAAGACACAAATCTGTAGAAACTGTGCCTCTCAGTAGATGTGACTGTAGCCACAGAAAAGGACCATTTGGATAATCATTTAGACCTTTGGAGAATAAAGTGACATCTCTGACAACTCATACAAAAATGTTTTGTTCTGGCTTTGAGCTCAGAATCTCACAAAGAAGGAGACCTTGCATGACACAGACAAAACAAGCTGCAGTCTTGCAAAATACATGCTACTTGTGTTATTTAAGTGTTACATGCTTGTCGAGTACATCAAAAAGGACTTCAGCTCTTCAGATGTCTAAGATGGAAGGGGGAGGATCAAGCTTAATATTTCAGACAGAACCAAGGGCTTCAGTAAGGTACATCCTCTGCATTTGAATTTCCAAATGCAAGCTTGTAGATCTTTTCTTGGTGGAAGATTTTTCTAAAAGTTGCTACATGTTAGAAAGTCACAGAATATTCAAGAGAAAACATCAGTAGTGCAATGATCTTCTGATTAAAAGTACTTCAGTGGAAATGTGAAGATTTCGGTTTAATTCCTATTATACTCATCTTGTGCAGTTTGGGGGGAGTTATTAAAATCTCCATGTTATTGCACTTTCTGAGAGGAGAATATATCCAATTTTGGCTGTCTTTTAGTTAGATTGCATGCTCCCTCTCTCCTGTACATTTTCAGCTCCTAACATGGCAAGGCCCTTTTTTTTTTTTCATTGTTTCTATGTAGCAGTAAAGATTTCTGAACCACGGGGCTCTCAGTTAGAAGGTAGAAAAGAAGAGGGGTCAACTGTTCACATTCCCAACACAAGAGGAAGGGACTGTCAAATAAAACTAGTACATAAGACAAGCAAAATAGAGTTTTCTACAGTTTTCTACAGCACAGATGTAGTTCAGATGTGGAACTCTGCCACTGGGTGCCACAAATGCTAAAAGCTTACATGTGTTCAAAAAGCAAAGCAAAACCCCACAACCTAAACAAACTACTGAAAGAAAAAGCCACATAGAGCAATTATGAACAGAAAGATCACTTCTGGCTCCAAAAGTCTCCAAGTTACAAGGCACAGTAACACACAGGCCTTGTTCTTTTTTCATTAGAGTGATGCTATTGGCCACCATCTCACACACAGATTGCACATCACATCAAACAGACCTTTGACCCAACCCAGTTCTGCTGTTTCTGTGGCTATGCCGTTCCCTTCTCAATCACAGAATTGAACCACAAAGATTATGCAAGCCTCATTTTTTTAACACGGTTCTGCTAGCTGTGCAAACTCCACAGTATGAAACAAAAACATGTCACTTCCTGAATCATACTGTAAGGCAATTTATAAGAGGATGGTTTTACCTTTTTTCAGTTATGCCACTTAGAGCCCACCAGTGTTGCTGAGTGTGTTTATCTACTGTCAACAGTATGCTGAATCCTGAACAACAGTGCACAGCCGCTACAAGCTGCACTGAAGTCATGCATCTGGCATGATCTGTCTCAGTGTTGGTTGTTTTTTTTTTTAAATAAAGCAAAGCAACAGCAAGTTGTATATGGCTTAGCATAATACTCTTTTCTAAAGGTGATGATGAACCTTGGGGCCTCCCAACTCCAGCAACTGAAGCCTGCTGTCATGGAAATAACCTGTTTGCCAGACAGGCCTTGCGCAGTGGCCCTGGGGATGGTGAAGATAACTCTGAACCCCAAGGGTTTTGTCGTGGCTTGTTTACAGCATAGCTTGGAGTTACACAAATACAAGGCAGGTGCTTTTCCCAGCAAACTTTCACTGGAGAGAACTTGGCCACTGACAGATCCCAAATCTCTGATTCTGCCACCATGGCAACCTTTGCAAGAGCCAAAGCCCTGTGCCAGCTTGCTTCCAAGGTTCAGTCCTGGGGAAGATGAGGGCCAGAGAGGTAGCTTTGGCATCCTTCCCTGGCCACCCCCACTGTAAGACAGAGGACCAGCTATTTTCAGCTCTCTTACAGTTATACTTCAAGAGCCGTAGATTCATTTGTTGAAGGGAAAACGTGCCAGCACATGCAGTGAGGGACTGCAGGGTAGTGAGAACCCCATTGTATCTGGCCTACCAGGACTGTCTTCTTTCTAATCCCAACTGAAGAACAAGTTGGAACAGGGAAAGTGAATTATAAAGGCCCATTTCACAACTTTGCTTTGACTGAGGTGGACTTCAGTCACTGATCCTCATTTGCACTGTGCTAAGCAAGAGAGTTTAATTTAGAACAGCTCCACCGAAAGGAAAAGAGTGACAGAATCATCTATGTTGGAAAAGACCTTGAAGATCATCCAGTCCAACCATTAACCTAACACTGACAGTTCCCAACTACACCATATCCTTCAGTGCTGTCTCAGCCTGACTTTTAAATGCGTCCAGGGATGGGGACTCCACCACCTCCCTGGGCAGCCCATTCCAATGCCCAACAACCCGTTCTGTAAAGAAATTCTTCCTAATATCTAGTCTAAACCTTCCCTGGTACAACTTGAGGCCATTCCCTATTGTCCTATCGCTTCTTAGTTTGGTCAAAGAGACTCATCCCCAGCTCTCTGCAACCTCCTTTCAGGGAGCTGTAGAGGGCGATGAGGTCTCCCCTCAGCCTCCTCTTCTCCAGACTAAACACCCCCAGTTCCCTCAGCTGCTCCCCATACGACCAGTGCTCCAGACCCTGCACCAGCTTCATTGCCCTTCTCTGGACACGCTCGAGTCATTCAATGTCCTTTTTGTAGTGAGGGGCCCAAAACTGAACATAGTCATTGAGGTGCGGCCTCACCAGTGCTGAGTACAGGGGTAAGATCACTTCCCTCCATTCAGTCACCTCCCTCCATTTCAGTTTGGATGCTACAGCAGGCTTCCATCCATTTCTGAAGGCATTTTCACAGATTACTCAGCTGGCAGACAGTAATCCTCTGTCTAGCACTTGAAAGGCTCAACAGCAAGTCCAAGAGGCTGTGTCTGCATCTACACTGCATGCTCTACCTAAATCCTAGTCCATGTCAAGGGCATGGAGGGAGAAGCATGCAGTCCCTCCTTTCTCTGGGAATCGCTAGCTCACAGGCTAAAAAACACAATAGCACCTTTTGGCTAGTCTGGACATGGGACAAGTGCCTAAGTAGACCTGCTGGAAAGCTTAAATCAAGGAAGGAAGGCTCCACTGAGACTGGATAAACACCAAAGCAGGTTGTTCAGAGGCTGTGGGATCTCCACCCTTGGAGTTATTCAACAATGGATAGGACAAGGCCCTGAGCAATGCGATCTAACTTTGAAGTTGGCTCTACTCCGAGTAGGAGATTGAAGCACATCACAGTACTGAAATGGCAACTGTTAATCAAGCAAGATAAAGCTTCTCTGGCTTTACAGGAGCATAAAGTACTCAAGCCAGTCTCAGAGGGAAATGGCCTTTAGTAACTTTTTGGAGGAAATGATACCATGATAAACTGACTTAAAACATTAGATTTCCCTTCTCCCACAGACTGTCCCAGCATGATTTATGATACAGGATGCCAAGTTTTGGTTCTGTTGGTCCTAACAACTCTCACTCCCTCCTCATATCATAACGAAGAGAGGGTGAAAGGAAAGGTCTGTATCATCACATCTTTTACTGTACCTGAGTATGGCAGGCCCACAGTAGGAAGGATGTATTTTGGTACACATATCCTCCAGCTGCAGCCGTTCTCCTGGGCTGATATCATAGCTCTGCTTTGGATAGCTGACCAGCCAGCCGTAGTCCACCCCAGTCTTGATCTTGCGATACTCATTGTCCCGCTCTCGCTGCTGTTTCTCTGCCTGCTTGATCTGCCAGCTCAGCTCCATCATTAGCGTCTCAACCACCATTTCTGTGGGGTTCCTCTGGGAAATGCGATTTGGGGGCTCATTCCACCTGAACCAGGATGCCAGTGACATAGTGCTGTGTCTTCATTGGGAGTGGGTTGAGGGGAGGGAGGGAGAGAAAAAGAACAGTGCCATCATCAACACACCTCAGCCAAGAACGTTCTCCCCCACACACCCCTTGAGTCTCTTGTTCCCCTAAAAGTGCTACTGGATTAACCACTTGGAAGTAATTGTTGCTGCACACTTTGAGAAATCTCACCCATAGCAGCCAACTCATGCAGAGGGCAAGACAAAGGATGAAGAGTCACAGTTTCCCTTGAACTTTGTCACCATGTAATTAAAATGACAGTCACAGTTCTTACATCTGAAGTCAAGTTATAAGGATACCTTGTTCCTTCCAGGTTAGGCTGGGAAAGCATTCTCCTGCCCACACAGAAGAGCTGGGGCTAGAGCTCACCTGTCTGAATCCTCATGGGAGGGCACGACTTTGCAGCAACCGTACATGTGAAAACTCAACATACGGAATTAAACTATTTCTGGGAGCCACATTCTACCCAGGAGGAGATCCTTAGAGAGGAGGGCAGGATAAGTGACCCAGGGGGTGGGTTGACCCCGGCTGGACACCAGTTGCCCACCAAAGCTGCTCTATCACTCCCCTCCTCAGCTGGACAGGGGAGAGAAAATGTAATTAAAGGCTCCTGGGTTGAGATAAGGGCAGGGAGATCACTCAGCAATTACTGTCACAGGTAAGACAGACTTGACTTGGGAAAATTAATTCATTACAAATGAAATTAGAGTAGGATAATGAGAAATAAGACCAAATCTTATAAACACCTTCCCCGCATCCCTCCCTTCTTCCCAGGCTCAACTTCATTCCCAGTTTCTCTACCTCCTCACCCCAAGTGGTGCAGGGAGTCAAGGAATGGGGGTTGTGGTCAGTTCATCACCCGTTGTCTCTGCCGCTCCTTCCTCCTCAGGAGGAGGACTCCTCATACTTCTCTGCTGCTCCAGTAAGGGGCACTTTCCACGGGATACAGTCCTCCATTAATTTCTTCAACATGAGTCCTTCCCACGGGCTACAGTCCTTCATGAACAGACTGCTCCAGTGTGGGTCCCTCATGGGGTCACAAGTCCTGCCAGCAAACCTGCTCCATGGGGCCACAACTCCTGCCAGGAGCCTGCTCCAGCATGGGCTTTCCATGGGGTCACAGCCTCCTTCAGGCACATCCATCTGCTCCAGTGTGGAGATCTGCTCCCCCGTTAACCCCCATAGGCTGCAGGGGCACAGCCTGCCCCACCATGGGCTGCACCACGGGCTGCAGGGGAATCTGCTACAGCGCCTGGAGCACCTCCTCCCCCTCCTTCACTGACCTTGGGGTCTGCACAGTTGTTTCTCTCACATATTCTCACTCCTCTCTTTTGACTGCTGCTAGTGTTGTGCATGTTTTTTTCCCCCCACTTTCTTAAATATGTTATCCCAGAGGTGCTTCCACTGTTGCTGATGGGCTCGGCCTTGGCCAGCAGCGGGTCTGTCTTGGAGCCAGCTGGCATTGGCTCTGTCAGACATGGGGGAAGCTTATAGCAGCTTCGCACAGAAGCCACCCCTGTAGCGCCCTCCCTCCCCCCTTCTCTATCAAAACCTTGCCATACAAACCCAGTACACCTGGGTAGGTTTGCAGCATAAGTAGTAGAGCGCATCCATACTTAGATAGTACTGGCAGGAGCAATAGCTGCATTAGCTACAAGGCCAGGCAGAGCTTTAACTGTTATTTAGCAAATGTGTTGTATGCAGGAGAGGCTACACCATCTTCTACAAGCTGAAGTCCAAGTGTTAGCTATGCTGGAAGAGCACACCTTAGGTGCTACCACCAGCACCAAGGGAACTGAGGCTGGGCTGAGAGGGAAGTAGCAGCATACCAAGGTTTAAACTGTTACTACTTTTAATTTTTGCTGCTGGGGAGTTACTCAATACTTAGAAGGCAGAACAAACTGCACCAATCAGCTCAGCAAAAGATGGAATTAACTCCCCATCTAGCCAATCCTTTCAGGCAGTCACTTCAAGAGGACAGTGCACGGAACAAAGTTATTAACTATTGTATTTGTATTTAAACACAATGGAATCCAAAGCAGGCACTAGGGATTTGAATAGGAGCAAAACAGCATCTGTTTCTTCACACAGCACACTTACGTGCCTTTTTGCTCCCTTCCATTAGCCCCCAGGGAAAAGAGGTGGCACAAATAATGGTTGCAGCTGGGATTTCCAAAAGGTTACTCCTGGCAGCAGCCCAATCAGGACATGGTGTCAAAAGTTAACATGAGGGTAATGGATTAAAGAGCCCAAATCTGCAGGGCCTGAGCAAATTCTCACTACTGAGACACAAACACAAAGACAGACATAAAAGGAAGAAAAATACGCTTTTGATTTAAGCTGCTATATTGGGGCCTAGACCCTTTAGTGACAATACAAATCACCAGCATCTCATAAGTACCCAGTACTCCCACTAGAGTGGAGTGCCACAAGCGTCCAGGCTCCCTAGAAGAGCAGTAGTCAACAGGGTTCTGCCTTCAGTGCCTGGAAGACCATCACTGACTTCACCAGGTGAGAAGAATGCTTGAGTTTTTTTCATGCCTTTATCACTTGCCGTATTGTAGCCTTGTTCTCTTTCAAAAATGTTCACATTATGTAAAAATGTCACACCATTAAAAGAAAATGCTCCAAAACCCTGGATAGTCTGTACAGTATCCCAAGTTTGAAATTATTTCAGAGTCTAATGCTTAGGCTTTTCTAGAATCAGGAAGCTTGCCAAACTGCATCAAAGGACTAGTTTCTCTAATCCTCTGTCCTACCTCTCCCAGCAAGCCATACCAGTTTCTTCAGAAGGAAGACATGAAAGGGCTGAAAACTTCCACAGGACATAGATCCTACCTAGGTGTGTAAAGCAGCAGGCACTTTTCTGAGACTGTCTAAACATTAACACCTTTGCTACTTTACAGTGCTTATATGTAAGAGATCGCTCTAGTGAATTTTTTCACCCTGGAGTATCAGCTGTGATTATCCTTATGATAACAGCCATAGTCAGCAGCTGCTGGAAGTCACCTTGCTCCTATCTCATTTCTGTGCTCTATAGGAGGAGGAGGAGCAGCAGGTCTTTTCATTTGCTTTCATTGCCAGGGTGACTCCAGCTAGCAGCATTCAAATCACCACACAGTGCTCTGGCTGCCTGCTGCTGACTTGCCCAGGACAAGTGAATGAACTCAGGTTGGAATTGGTGTGCTGACAGCTTCAACTCCATAATCCCACCATCCTAACATGTACCTGGATCTTGATACATGGTGGCCTCCACTCACCATTACACATTATTAAGGATGCAGATCCTTAAAACTTAAGCCCTTTTCCTTTTCACCCCTTACATATTGCATAGGTAAGCCCTGATAGCAAAAGTGAGCAGCATAACAGACCACAAGCTGTTGTAAATGATTTAAAAGTTTCCTCTTTCTTTTCACCTTATGTGATGACAGCAATCTTTCATAAGTTTTTACAGGTACTTGATCAATTAAGGTATCATTATTATTTCCATTTGCACCTTCATCTGATGAAGGTGAGCATGCCCTTCTGTATTTTACCATCGGAGGGTTAGCTTATTTTACACTTCTTCTGGCTATGACCTGGTCTCACGTTGGTTTAACTCTGCTGACTTCAGTGGCATTAGGGGTAAAGCAGTATAAGGCAGTATAACTGTGAAGCTGAGGAATGTCCTTCCAGCTATGCCTAGCTCACCAGCTGTTTCATTAGAAGCCAGGCAAGAGGGGGGTTTAGTGGTCAGAACTGGGAAAGACAGCAAGGAGATCTGGGCTCTAATTTGACCTGCCCTGGCTTTCACATGGTCCTGGGCTATTCTTACTGCTTTTATGTTTTTATCTTGCAAGTCTCCCTCAAAGTAAGTAGTTCTGCACGAGGAGAACCATTTTACCTAGCACTGGTATTGCAGAGGACAGTCAGTTAGAAAAATATTTTGGATAACTTGTCTGAGCAAGGCCTGCTGAACCTGAGCTTCACCCTGTCCCAGAGCTTTCATAAAGCACTGGTAACAGTCAGATTTGCTTTTGTTATGGGAACATGAATACCACAGACTCTGAATGGGCCTTCCACTTGTCTCCCATACAGTACTTGAAAAATCTGCTTCCACATGAGAGGAGTATAAAGTAAGGAAGGCACCATACCTGCAGTTGAAATGGCCTGTTCTCAAATGAAGGAAAATCACATGCAAGCATTTCATGCACAGTGGGAGCTTGTGCTGGCTGTTCCTAAGGGAGTCTTGTTTGTATGAGATTGTTTCCTTCCCCATCTCTCATCCATCATCTCCTCTTTCTGAGAGCTGGAAACTGGCCATCTCTATTTAGCAAGCTTGACAAGCCACCACTCTTCCCACTACTGGTCTTTGCAGCCTGCAGAAGATACTGTGGGCTCCATTAATTGTAGCTGCTGTTTTTAATTTAAAGTTCATATGCAGGCTAATCATTAAATGACTCAAAATGGCTTTCCTATTAGGAAGGATTCAAAGGACTGTTGGCAGAATGTGGATAACTAAAGGAAGGCAAAAGTTTCAGCCTGACCTTGTTATTGGGGAAAAGGTCAAATTTACACTTTGCAAATATTCATGTGACAATTATTAAAAAGAAGAGACATTGCCCCATCTGAATACAGATCTTTATATTGTACAGTCAGTCCATTTTTTGGATTCCTTGTAAGAGGCCATCCTGGGAGCTGACATAATCCAGTTGATGAACTACTCTTGTGTTATTCAAGCACAATTTCAGAGTGGTTTGTGTAAGTTCTACTCCAAAAACAGATCTGGGCTTCAAGGCTTTTGCCTCATTGACCCTAGACCTTTGGCTAGCAGTCAAACCTTCCCCACACACCATTGATTACAAGTCTGGCCAACCACCTCACAGAGTTTTAAGCATACATTTACCACCTTAGCTATGTTAATATCTCGCTCTCTCTCACACACAGCCTCTGAGGGGTTTCTGCAATTTTTAGTGATTGCTAGTAAGTTCTTCTGAGTCTTTTTCATGTAAAAGTTTCCTGTTAGCTTTAGTTCTAAAGAAGTTTTTTGCCTCTCTCCAAATCTCAGTTTTGTTCCCCACACTGTTGGCAACTCCTGCATTTTTCTCCTCACATACTTTACAGCTTTCTCCACTCTCTTCTCATGGCATGTTCTGTACAATTTCACCTCATCTTCCACTTTTTTACCTTCTCCCATATTTCCCCATGTGACTTCCTCCTCTTGATCCAGAGAATGCACCAAAGAAACATCAGAAATATCAAAGTTCATATGCTTTATTGCTTTTCCACCTTCCTACAACAGGATTTCAGCCTTTCCTAGCTATTTTCCTAGCAAAGGTAATATGTTTCCATAGCTTGTCTCTGGCTGTTTTTTGGCCAGCTGGAGGCTGTTCATATAACCTGACAGACATCAGTCTCCTGCAGGCTCTTTCAGGCTAGATCACCACTTGCTAAGGCTTGTTACAGCAGGACTGCTTTCTGGTAAACCACAGGTCAATCAGCAGGACCTGTTTGCCTTGTAAAAGATTAATTTCTGAGAATAAAAAATTCCTTTTTCATTGATTTTTTTCCTAGTCCCCAGCTTCCAAAGCTCTCCAGGACAGGAAAGGAATAGGCAGAGGGTGGGAAATGTGCATTTGAAAAAAAAAAAAAAAAAGACTACAGCTGGACCCTCTATAAAGGTATGCCCTTGGTTGAATAAGTCTCCTGTGGTTTGCATTTGCCTTCACAGTCTGTTAGTCCAGGAATACTACTGACAATCCGTAGTGACTCTCAGTGGTCCCTGTGGTATGGTAGTTGTATCGGAGCAGAAGAAGAAAGGTCTTAAGGGATTGGATGAGTAGGACCCTAATCAAAAATCCAGTGATGTCAATGGAGATGCTGTCACTCAGCTGGCTATAGACAGAGTCCCAAGAAATCCACTGTCATCCAGGCAATGGATGCTGACAAACTGGGCTGAGGAGTTGGGAAATGCCTTCCATCCCTTCCTGTGAGTGGTAGTTCCTTACTACTACAGTCGGAGAGCAGAGAGACACAATTTATTCATGCAAGATGCCCACTCAACCTTTTTCCACACATGCCAGATCAGAGGGGAACAAACACAGAAAATTATTTCTAAAAGAAATGAGAGAAGCTCCATCCCAAAATTGTGCTCATAATGGTTCTTTTAAAAAGACATGAAGTCACAGGGAAAACAAACGATGTGAAACTGCAGAGCATGTTACTTTTTTTTTTTTTTTTTTTTTTTTTTTTTCAGTGTACTTCAGATAGCAAAGGGTATCTAGTATCCCCCTGGACTGCAACTCATAGGTAGATTAAAGCTGGTTTGGTTTGGCTACATCCATCTCTTAATTCTGTATGTGCTAACTAATGCAACATTTAAACAGCTTCTCAGGCAGAATTTGTGGTCATGGCTACGCTGCTAGCTATACCTGCATGAAGTAGCATTAAATAGTGACAGCATCATAGATGAACCCCAAATTCTATTTATCCTGTGATAAAATTATTTTAATTTTGTTATAAAAGAAGAATCTTAACGAGTTCTAATTAAGAAACTGCTGCCAACACCTTCTCAATTTTATTTATATAGTCCATCATAGCTTTGTTAAAAAAAAAAAAAAAAAAATCCCTGATCTCCACCGCTTTTCTGAGAAGTTACTTACCATTATCCTCTCCATACAGAGAATTTTACCTTACCAGGGCCCAACGAACCCTATCTGTCTAGAATCTCCCATCTCGTTTAGTGACATGGAAGGCTATGGTGTTTACAGCTACTTGCCATGCGATTGTAATCTCGGTGGAAATTATTACAACCCCAGCCTGAGAACCCACATCTATCTCCCAAAGTTGCTATGAGGCAATTAAGGATGAAAAAGCAGTAGATAGAGCCTTTCAATCAAGAAACTTAAAAGCAATGCAAATATCATGATATTGATACAGCAGCATTCCTCATTCCTACAGAATAAAGAAAGAGAACTCTTGGGGACACCCAGAGATCTGCTTAGAGACCACAGAAGAGAACCTGTGTTTCACTTTATGAGCATACTGATTCTCTTCTTGTGATGGACACAAGCTATTTCTGGACACACACAAAAAAATAAAATCACAGTGATTACAATATATCCAGGGACATGACCCCGTTACAAGTAGCAAGGAGTTTTGAATAACAGAAGTACAGGGCATCGAGCCAACACTGTAAATGAAACATTATTTATTGTCAAGTCTTCAGCTGCAGGTGTTTAAGGACAGCAAAAAGAGCCTCACAGGGGTGTCTAAGAGCGAGCTAACGGTGACAAGGCACTGTGGCACCCAGCAGGCCCTTGCACGCCAAGTAATGCCTGTCTGACCCTAGCAGGGCAGTGTTCACGGCCCAGCCAGGCTGCTGCAGGCTGACAGCTCCTGCTGCTGCCCGACCCTGCTTCTGAATGGCAGGTGCTGTCAAAATGTGCAAAAACCATGCTGCCATTTGGCATACAGTCTAATTTCTGTATGAGTTTTTTTCTCCAGCAGACTTTGCCTTCTCAGCGTTATAGAGATGGGCTGGCTCTTTGTCTGGTGTACCTGCCACCGAGAGTTACAAGTCACTTAAGCCATTTGTGAATGTGCACGACTGTTAAAAATCACCGCTAGGTAGCATAACAGAGGGACAGTCAAGAGCATATCACACGGTGCTGTGAGACAAAAGAGAAACAAAACTGGTATCATTTCTACCAAACAAAAGCTCGAGTGGCCTTCTGAAAATAAAGCAATGGTTATGGTATGCATGGGTATGTCACATTTTCTACAGCTAGGAGCCTTCAAAAGATTTTTTTTTGTAATGAAACTCTTTAAAACTGAGAACATAAGAAAAATCCTGCTGTCACCTGCCCAGCATTTGTGTAGTTTGTAATACATTTTTAGAGCTTCAAGCTTTTAGAAAACAAGTCTATTATCTGATGTGTTTTACACCTGCGCTTTGATTGCAAGAGGGGTAAAGAAACAAGAATTCAGCATGAACTGGGCAATAAGTTCAGGTTTGAACGAGAAAGGTATCTTTCAAACACTGGCCAAAACAACGAGGAGAAAAGGTAGCTGATCTAACTGGTACAGCTTCATGATCTACAGTAGAGCTGCACTAATATAAACCTGATTTGCCTCACTGAAATAAAGAGCTGTGTTGATTAACTCCAGATGAAAATCCAGTCTACAGATCTTAAAGAAAAAGTGAAGGAAGGGCCCAATAGCCTAGAGCTCTGCTAATGGCTGGGACTCTCTACAGAACATAATCTTTGTGTCATCTGCAGAAGCAAAAGGGTGGGTGTTACTCAAATCTGCTTATGAAGCAGAGTAGCATTTTATACTTTGTCTGCTTATCAGAGCAAATGAGTTTCATCTGCTGAGAAACAGGACTACTTTCATGCCAAATTCCCACTCATACTTTAAACAATATTTTCTAATAGCAACCATAAAACCACTCTATCATATACAACTTATACTGGACTGTTACCTAAATCTACTGAAGCCAGGAAGTTAAAACACACTGATACGCTCTATTTCCCTAACTTGTTATTAAAACTCCTATATTTTGCTCAGATCTTGCTGCGGTAGATCAAATACAGCTTCAATTCTATGTCTTACTTTGATCTCTTCAGACTACAAAGCCAGGTTTCCAGTCAGGACAGAGGGACCTGAAGTATTCTTCACCATTCATTCAGCCATTTAAATGAGAGTTCAGAAGGTAACACAGACACATAGCTTTCCTGTTATTAAAACTACTCGAACCACAAAAAAAAAGTACTGCTGGAACAAAGCAGCAATAGCATCTGATGGAAGGCTCTGACACAAAAGGCTTTCAAAATTAAAACTCGGAGAGATCCCCAGCTCGTCTTTCTCTATTCTACCATCATTGTAACTACACAACATTATTAAAGGGGCAGTAATATCACAAACTGGAGTTTCTAATACTGTCATTCCCTGCAGATACTTATATCTGTAGAATTATATAAAGTAAGAGCTCGAAACTCAGACACAAAGGCATATTTCACCTGTTGTCAGGTTCACTGAAATTTGGGTTTTTTTTTTTCATATATTGTGGCACAGACCAGACTGAGTGCTGTGAAAGTGTGTGGGTGAGATGTGCATTCTCCATCCAGACTGAGGATAAATTATTTTGTGAAAGCCGGAGTAACTCACTGAATCATAAGGTCAGAGTGCATTTTAACAGATGTACATACATTTTAACCTGTACATTCCTATTCAGTACTAAACCTTGGTTACAGCATCTATCAGAAAGAATCTTTACTGGAGATGCCCAAAGCCCCACTCCGTCTCAATTCACTGCAGAACGATGAGGCTATGTGGGAGTTTTCCCTGTGCTGGAAAATACCAGTGTTAAAGTTTGGTCCTTGCGAAAGGAGTTACTTTAAAATACACATTGTTTTTCAAATTAGCACCCAAAAGAAGAATGCTAAGTTTACAGTTTGAAAACTTAAGCCTCTTTGTGAAGATCACATACAGCATCTGGAGCCACCGGCTGAGCTGTGGGAAAGCTCATGCTTTTCTTCCTGCAATAGCTGTATGACCCACCTACGGTCCATCTGCAGACAGCAGCCACATAAACCATAAGCGAAGGGCCCTGTCTTGAGACAGGTTTTAATTAATGTGTTCACATTAAGAGGTGTACAGTGTAGCTTATTCTCAGTTATGCTCCATAACTCCACAGCTACCTGACTGACCTTACTGGTACCACGCTGGGGTTACTAAACGCTGGACTTCCACACTGAAGATACTTAGCAGGGCAAGCGTCTAATCTGAGAGATTTTAAACAAGAGTGGCATAATCTTAAAGCATCGTAAACCATGCTTTCCTCCTCGGCTGCCTGTTCTTTACGTAACCAGTTACCCAGCGCTTATCCACCCGGGCAGCCCCGCGGTGCCGCGCCCGAGCCCAGCCCGGGAGAGCTGCCGGAGCCCCCCGACCCCCTTCCCTGCCCGCCTACCCCGCCTCACCTTCGGCAGCAGCGCCCCGGCTGCCGGCGCGGGCAGGCGGACCCAGAGCGAGCCAAGGGGGTGCCAGGAGGAGGACGCGGCTTGAAGTCAAGCCCTCTACACTGGCATAGCTGCCTTAAACCCGCACTGGGGTATGGATTAGCCCTGGTGACGAGGGTTAACAGCTGGGTTTACAGCAGGGCTTTTGAGCGCTCAGCGCTTGGTCCAGTATCTCTGCAAGACGCAGCTACCCGTCAAAAAGCTGACCGCCTCTCGGCTTAGGCAGACTTAGGTACCTGTTTAAAAATCCCTCCAAAACCTGACAACTTTGCGGGGTTTTCTAACCCGCCGCGGAGCCGACACTTTGAGGAAAATGAACGCGATTCACACAACCCGGACTTTCTGAAGCCGTTGAGGCCGCCGGTTCACCCCCTTCGCCCCGCGCCTGCCCCTCCCTGCCCGGCCCGGCCCGG